TTTCACCCTCTGTCAGAAACCAGAGCCCAGTGTGCTCTGATTGGTTAGCTGGCCGGCTCTGTTGGGATTGGTCAACCGTTTAGAAATGTCCCGCCCCTTAGCCTATCATGAACAATGTGTTGGAGCGCTAGCCAGAAGAAAAACAAAGGAGTCCAATGGAAGCATATCACCTACAAAATATAATAGAAAATGCTCCGTTTTAGTGATGGAGAAAATTCCACCCAGTGAAATCATTCTTGAATTAACGGCTATGATGATGAACTGCTAGAATTGCGACTGTGGCTGTCAGGGAGTGTGGACGCCTTTCAACCAGAAGATTGTGGGTTCGATCCCAGCCAACAGTCAACATGTGGATGTATCGTTGAGCAACATACTGAACACTGAGTTGCTCCCAATGGCCAACGGCGTGTGAATGATAGCTTCTCGACCAAGTGGTACTGCTCTGCATGAATGAGGTGTGAAAGGGTGAATGACTCGGTATGTAAAGCGCTTTGTGGTAAAAAAATACCTGTTACAGCGCAATATAAGTCCATTTACCATTAGTATCCTGCTAGTTATTCCCCAATTATTATTTTTTTTACCAGTGATCTGATTACGTCTTTTTGTATGTAACTGTAAGGGATGAAGTTTGTTTTTGTATTATGATTACATAATCCCCATGAGTGTTGGTTGAGGTTTTTCTTAGAGACAGTTACATTACTGGCTTGTGTGTCAATAATAGAAGTTTGATTGAGTGGATAGATTACGGGTCCATCTGCAGGATGCTGAGCGGGGGATATGTGCAGTGTTTACACTCTGATCATTAGAGGAACCACAATGCTTTCTCTTCTTTTCACAGAGATAATGAATAGTGATCTGTGTATCCTAGGGTAGATTACATCTGTGGTGTTCTACCACTGTAGAGCTGCATGTGGTTACATTCACACTGCAGATACGGGCAAGATTCAAAGCAAGCGGGGGGGCTTCATGCTTCCTATTTTAAATACAAATTAGCCTGGCGGTGTGTGTACAGTAAATGGAAACAAGTTGAAAAGAGTTGACCGCTGGTATTTGATGTGCGGTGATTAACTATGTATGGGATTTTCTCTGATTTTGTTTCCCTTTAGAATAATTTTTGGTTATACCGATCATGAGCTATCATGGCTAGAAAGTGGACATTTCATTAAGACATTAAAGGACATTTATCATAAGTGCATAATAAATAAGAACATATACTAGCACTTTACTTCAACATTTCTTAATTTGTTGAAGTAGACTCGAATATAGCCATTTGCTGCTATTTATGCGTCTATTTCAAAGATTTCAGAGGCAAATGTTGCATTTTCACTACATTTATCTGGCTTTAATTACATTGAAGATTTTGATAAATGACCATGTATTTTGATATGGTGAGACAACCAGTTTAAGCAGGTCTATCTCTGCTTTTTACAGAACCTGGCTAGCTTTTTGCCTCTGTTTCCAGTCTTTGTGATAAGCTAGCCAGCTGCTGGCTCTAGCTTCAGATGTATCTTACAAACATGAAAGTGGAATTCATATTTGTATCTAAAGCTCAGCAAAGAAAAAAAGGAATATGTATATTTCTAAACCCAATGAACTGTAGGTAATGCACAACTAGAGCATGATACATTTTTATTTAAATCATGAATTAATGTTGGATGTATTCCATTTTAAGATGAATGTTATTGGTTAAAGGGGACATCATATGCACATTTTCAGGTTCATACTTCTATATTGGGTTTCTAATAGAGCATGTTTACATGCTCTAATATAAAAAAATATATATATTTTCCTAAAACTGTCTTCTAAATATACCTGTATTCCCCCTCTGTCTGAAACGCTCTGTTTTTGCGCCTCCTGAAAAAATCTCTTCTTATTAGTCAGTTTTTACCAGTCTTTTATATCTGCGTTCTGGACATTTTCTCCACTGTCACTGCCAGGGAATCACTTCTACAGTATATGTATACCTTCTAGGAAGTCATAACAGTCAGGATAACAGATCATTTAAAGGTGTTTCTGAATATTGGCTTTGTGCATTTCTCCATGGATTGAGCTCTTTAAAACAGTTTTGATAAATATGATTTATTTTATCCATCAAAAAAATGTGTAACATCACAAAGCAACATGTGTTGGCATACAACAACTAGATGGATATAAAACTATGGATATTTGAATAAGATAAGGGGTTGAGTGTGGCCCTGAAAAAGGCCTTTTCTATGTAACTGGAGTCCAGCTCATTTGGTGGTGTATAAATTAAAGAATGAAGTACATTGAATTAACGATCATTATTACCATTATGACGATCCATTAAGAAGGAGCTAATGAACTCATAGTCACTTTGTCATTTCTTTATGGGGAGCATTAAGCCTGTGATTTGTAACCAGAATACTTTAATGTGCAGATAGCAGTATTTTGAGCAAAGAAAAGTTTGAATAAACAGCTGCATAATTTAAAAATGATTCTCCTCCACAAGAAACAAGTGTCTCCCTCCATCTTTTGTTGAAAATTGAGATAAAGCACAAACATGCTTTGAATGCATAAACCAAGTCCTGTCTCTAATTTATGAAGGCCTTCTGTAGTTGTGTGCGTGAGGACATGAGCGACAGCAGTTGGGTTGCTCCAACACACAATGGTGAACACGGTTGTTTGTTGCACAACTTGAGTCAGAGCGGAGGAACTAATCAGGGAAATCAGTGTCTGTTGTCTCTGCTCGGCTGCACTCGTGGCACACAGCTGACTGAGAGCTCCCGGGCTCCATGCTGCTGATACTGCCCTCCCTCGGGTGTCTGATCCAGTGTCCCCCCCCTTCCCTCTCCTCTCCCGGTCGCCCCGCGGTAACCGAGACAGAATCACTCAGCCTCAACCAACCCACAGGCCCGATGCTCCTTTAGCAGGCTTCACCTCACACGACGGGCAGCAGGTTGACCATCCTTACATCCGTAGAAAGCGGGATTTCACAGCGCTGAAGGATTCTTGAGGGAGATACGGACTCCCTCGCAGCTCCAGAGCCGCTCTTCTATCCGAACGTGACCTCTGACCTCCCCATGGAGCAGGAGTGGACAGAATTTCTCTTCACAATATTTAGAAGAATTATACTTTTACAGAAACTATTATTAGCCAGCTAGAGGGGATGACGCTGTATGTCTTCAGGCTAACAGATAACATTGTTTCTATGGACATTTAGATTTTAGAGAAACTAAGCCTGTGTTCAGATGTTAAAAATTATATTTCAAACACAAAATAACTCTTTGCATATGAAATACCATTCGCATGTAACCTTAGATTCTCGAATTTCTTTTTAGTTTTTCTCAAATTCTTCAGCAGTGAATGAAGAACCCGAAAAAAGGTCCTTAGGAATTGTAATAAATGGGCGGGGATGACGCTATATACCCTTAAGCTAATGAATAACTTATTCCTATTTCAAATGTAGTTTTAAGGCAACTGAGCCTGTGTTCAGATGTTAAAAGAATATTTTGAGCACAACATCAATCTGTGTATACCTGTTACCACCACGTGGAGCTTGAATTATTTAGGAAAATGTATTAGTTTCTTGAAATCCTCAACAATGAATGAAGCATCCGAGATTTTTGAAAAGTCTTGATCAATTGAAGGATATTGGGGCCAACATTAGCTCTTGCCAAACAAAATCAAAACATAATCATACTATCTCAGTTTCATTTATCGAGTCATAGAATTCAACGTAAACAGTCTCACACTAATGTAGGCTGTTCTTCCTAGCAATTCCGAAGTGTTTAAAATAGTGCAGTTTTAGCAAAAATGCATGTGTTTTGAAAATTGTGAGCATAAAACTGGATAAAGGGAACTTGGATGATACTGAACTAGTTGTGTAAGACTTGGTCGAAGGGTGTATATAAATAGTCTTATTTCTTCCACACTTTTCCCGTTTTTTTGTGCTTTGTTCACCACGAAGGCATGCAGGAAAAGCAAGGTATTCTCGAAGAATTTATATACAAATGGTCTTTAAAGGTCAATTATTCCTTTACCATTTGAGTCCAGGCTCACGTGTTGCTCAACTCTCAATTTTCCGTGGGAATAATAAGGTTATCGTTGGCCAAAAACTCTATTGACCAAAGTGTGTTATCGTCAACTCTAAATCCTTGAAAGCGGTTCAGATTGAAAAAGATCACATTTGTTCCACAGTTCTCCCCTCCCTGCTAAATGTATAGAGCCTCTGAGATCGCCTCGCTGCTATAACTCAAATCCAGAAATCTCCCTCATCTCCCATAAAACCACAGCAGCGGTGGAGTCATTCCGCCCCTGGGGTAAGAAAACAATGCTGCAGTGGGAACTTTAGAGCATCACCACCCGTGGCATTTACCGTACCGTCATTTTTCTTTACGCAAAATGCCACACAACTCTGCATTCCCAGTGCGCTCTGGGAGCTCACACATGCTAATGTTTTATTCACTTTGTGCACCATGAAAGGGAGGCATCACTTTGTACTACACTAACACTCGCTGCCAACAAGCAAACATATCAAATATTAACATCATCATCATCATCAGTGATCACAGGGTGATCGAATATGTGGCGATGAATAGGTAGAGGAAAAATATGGTGATTAAGATGGAAAAATTGACTCATTGGCTCTTTCTGAGCAAGGGTTTGTTTGTATTTCAGAGCATTTTTCCCTCCATTGGATCACAGCGATACAGTCTATGTGATAAACTGTGTGACGCTTGATGAGCACTTTCTGAACAAGTCAAGCTGACCTAATTCAATCTCTCTTCATGGCTGCTTTCATCTGCTTTTTACAGGTCAACAGATAATTATTCTTGCTGATTTACTAATGTATAGAAAGCAGGAAAAGGCCAATGAAGCGCTCTATTGATGTGAAAATCAACTGACGCTAAATGCCTACCCTACAATCGCAAACACGATAGCTGTGTCTAACTTTATGAAACCCTTCATTACGGGTCATCCATCTGTTTTATGAGCTTTTTAATGTAAAGGTACAGTAAACGTTGACTGTAAACGAGTGTTACACAACATAAAAATGTCAAAGTTACTGAAGCTTTTACTGCAGTCTGTTGTAGAGAAATGGAGATACAGTAAGTCCTCACTGGGGCTTCTGTAAATAAGCAGGAGCACACTACAAGTTGCAGTCCAGCTCGCATCATCCATGCGAAAACACTTGCCAATCTGAAAAAAAACTAATTCCAGATCCAGGCAATGTGTTGGAGTCCACTGAGTAAGCAGCTAAAAAAAAACGACATGCAACTGAAAAAACTGTTAGTTTCTCCCTCATTTAAACCCAATCCGATGATCTGCCCTTGATGTTTATCCTCAGAGGACAAACATTAGTTAACCCCTGAGATGTGAGTAACAGCCACTGGTCCGGTTGGGGGGGGGAAACGGGGCTGATCATCACGCCTTGAGAAGCCCACTGGGACTTGGAGGGCTGCTGCCGCTGCATTGATTTACTTGCTGACACCAGAATTGATGAGGGATCAAGCTGGCCACGGTCCAGGGGAGGCAGATTGGACAGGGAGGGAAAGAAGGTAGAGAAATGTAGCTACGGTAGCTGGGCAGGCAGTGAGGAGGGTGGGCTTCTCCCTGGAGCTACACTCCCCTAGGTGATGGAGGGAGCTTCCAGGGGCTGCAGCATACTTGTTAAGCCATTGACCTTTAATTCACACTTGTCATCTAATGGGTTCCGCATGTGACTGTGGAGCTTCAGGGGCCGGGATTGATCCGCTTGGGTCTCCACACACCACTGATTGGTGGGAGAAGAACCCAACTCGAAACCTTCCACATGCATCAGTGTGTTCCTGTTTCAGTGTGAGAGGGACGCCCCTCTGTAGCCTACTGTATAACCAGTGGTGCTGTAGGGGCGGGTGGGCACCCTCACTCAGCTTGTGGGTGTGACAACAACAGCAGGGACAATAGCAACAGGGCAGTGCTTCAGCCGCAATGGGAACACTGGGGTTTCATCACACACACACACACACACACACACACACACACACACACACACACACACACACACACACACACACACACACACACACACACACACACACACACACACACACACACGGAATGATACATGTGTACATGGAATACATTCACAGAGCCAATTGATACTCAGCGAAATTGCCTATTCAACAGAGCATTATATTAACAGCTTTAATCAACCAAAACAGGAGTCTTGCTAACAGATCTAATTTCAGCATCAAAGACTGATCTGGTGTTTAAACTGGCAAATTAGACTGAGCCAAATATGCTTCAAATTGTCAGATAAAATACTCATTTATTCTAGTGGTAATGGTATTTCTTTCTCAATATGTGACAATAGTGTGTTTTCTTGCCAAATTCGAATGCATCCAAGCTGTCCATCCATTGTGCTTTCACAGGAGACACAAAGTAGTCATGCAAACATCAGAGCACATACCTTCTACAGCCAGTACCACGGGGACAACGAGGCTGCACACCCACAGCAAGTAATCCATTGTCATAAAACAGGCTTCTGCAACATGAATAAAGGTGTGCAGACTGGACCCTTTGGATGGATGGAGCCTCAAACAATGAGCACCGCAGCCTAGCTTTTTGTTCCTCTCCCAATTCTCATGTCTTCAGATGTGGGGATGGGTCTTTACGCCCCGTATAAAAAAATAAATAAAACAAAATAACCGAACGCTTTATTTTACATTCATTCAGGTCCCGTTATTCCTCCGGAGTTTTGAAAGCGATGCTTACAGTCTGCACCCTTCCAGTCTCATTTCTTTATCCGACTTTAACCTCACCGAACCTCTGTCCAGGCGCATCCCACGGCTGCTGGTCTCCCCGAGCAGAGGATATGAAAGCCGGGTATCAGGTCGCCTTCTATCTGCAGAAGAATCTGTGTAGTCCACTTTGGGCAACTCCGCGTAGCTGTTGCTCTTCTGCGAGGGATGTGCGTCGGAATGGCAACACCGGGACAGAGAGACACCGAGGGGGCTGGGGCTCCGGCGGAGGCAAGCTGGCGCTGCACTCTGTGGACCTCAAGCTTCCGTTCGGGATTTTCAAAAATAATAGCACGATAACGGGTATTGGGGTAATTTATTCACCCAAAAGACATCGCATTAAACTAAGCAGCAATGTGACGTTAATGAAGAAAAATAAAACGTTGATGTTGTTATTTTTCTTCATAAAAGCTGTTATTTATTGGTGTAGGCCTATCTATAATATTAGAGTTAGGGTTTCAGTAGGTAGTTTCCATTTGGAAAACATTGTTGTTGACCAAAGCCTAATATGTTGGCCTAATAGTTATATGATTTACGATTTGTATCTATTCATGTATATTTATTTATTTATTGTGTTTTGATACATTGTAACACTGTAGGAGGCTAAGCTTAATTCAAATAGATTTATGATTTTCACGATAAAGCCTGTATAACATTATGTATTTATACAGTATATAGTTATATATAGGATATATTTGTGTATGTAGGCTATATATGTACAGTGGGGCAAAAAAGTATTTAGTCCAATTCCTATTCCTAATACCAATTGTGCAAGTTCTCCCACTTAAAAAGATGAGAGAGGCCTGTAATTTTCATCCTAGGTATACCTCAACTAAGAGAGACAAAATGAGAAAAAAAAAATCCAGAAAATCACATTGTCTGATTTTTAAAGACTTTATTTGCAAATTATGGTGGAAAATAAGTATTTGGTCAATAACAAAAGTTCATCTCAATACTTTGTTATATACCCTTTGTTGGCAATGACAGAGGTCAAACGTTTTCTGTAAGTCTTCACAAGGTTTTCACACACTGTTGCTGGTATTTTGGCCCATTCCTCCATGCAGATCTC